GTCCCGGAGCGGCCGGGCGCCGCCTGGACGCGACGGGCAGAGCGCGGGGCTGGCGGGGGAAACCAGCGCGCGGAGGGCTCTCCCCTTGGCGCCGTCCCGGGGCCCGCCAAACTCCAGCTCCCCTTCTCCCACGAGCAAGACGCTGGGCTGCCTGCAGCGGCCCCCTCTCCTCACACCCCTGCCCTCAACTAGGTCCGGGGTGCGCTGGGGCCAGCAGTCGGGAAGCGGGAGTGGTGAGTGCGAGTCCCTCGCCCCACGCTCTGCAAGAGGATCCCCGCGAGCCGGTCTACGCCGCGCGGGCCTCGCCGGGCTTCTCCCGCCCAGTTGCTGCCCTCTGCCGGCCGGGACCGCTCTGGGCCGCCGGCGCAGTGGCCGGAGGACGCGGGCCTTGGTCCTCCTTTCCTGCTTCTCTCATTTTTCTTCTCTCACCCCCTCTTCCAGCCCTTTGTCCCCTTCGTTCCAACACACACACACAAACACTTGCCTTGCCTTTTTTCTCTTTCCGCTAGCGGTTACCGTCCTGCCCGCCAGCCGAACTCCTCACTCCAACTGCCCCTTTGGGGGTGAGCTTCCTTCTCCACACCCCCTTATCTCAGAGGCTCTGTCATCCAACAAGCTGTCTTGCAGTTTGCGCGTCTGCACGTGATGTGAACCGAGACCCTGCCTCGGAACGGGCTTTGGGCTCTGAAGGCAAACTTGGGGCCCACAGGAAGAGACCTTTAACGGTCCCTTTCTTCCTCACTCCGAGTGAAAGCCTGTGGGGCCTGTTGATAGAGTTTTTCTACCCATGTTTTTCCCATCGAAAGTGAGTAGTATTCTGAGCTGCCGGGCTACCTAGCCACTCAGTGTCATGCTCAGAGACCCTAGAATCCCATTTGCTCAGGGTGTTCAGTGTCAGCTGGAAATATTTGCCTTAGATACTTTAGGTAACTAGAACTGCCTAATGCTCAGCCTGGAAGCTAAACAGTGGAAATACAAGTGCTTCGTTTTAGAGAGAGGTGTATAGAAATGACCTCCAGGTTTTCAGAACCCAAAGTCTCTACTCAAAGTGATCCGAGTGGATTGTTTTCATGGGGAAACAGTAAGACCTTTGTTTAGGTAGGTCTTAGGTGGTTGAGGAATCTTGATTCACAGGGAATTTCTGTGACCAAAAATTGCTACTTAATAACAATATATGTTTGTAAAATACACTTTTATTAAAGTCTTGAAGGGTTAGGGTTGCAAGTGAGGAATAAATCTTGGGGTTTGTTGGGGGGGGAGAGGGAGAGACGGTCCCAGGAAGAGAGAGCAATGACAGCTGTGGAACAATTTTGCAAACATGTTTTTCGGTTCATTTGTTTTGTTAAACATGCTTTTTGGTTCATTTGTTTTGTTTCTTTCATGAGAGAGAAGCGTGCCCCCAGCAAACATCTTCACGCGTGATCCACCCCAGCCTCAGCCAGCCCCGACCATGGCATGTACCTCCAGATGTGAACCTGAGACCCTTTCATCTGGGTCCAGGCTTGTGTTACCACTATGCCACCACTGCCAGCCCTTTCAGTGCTATGTGGCTTGCAAACTAGGCGAACAATCCTAGCCATCAGTGAGCTCACAGCCCTTTTCTACAGACTGGGAGGTCACTGCCTATGAGAGGCTGTGGGGAAACTTTTGGTAAGAGCACCACCAACATCTGACTGCTCCACGGAGGAAGGGGCTGATCCTCTGAGGGAACTGACTTTTGAGCTGGGCCTTAAGAGAAAAGTGAGATGTCAACAGAATGGGAAAGATTCAAGCTATGGATTTTTTTTTTTTGAGAGGTTTTTGCTATAGGGCGTGTGCTTTCGCCAGATAGACTGAGAGAGACAGAGAGACAGAAAGCGAGAAATCACCCCCCAGGGGAGATGCTCACGCCGCAATCCCTTCTCCTCCATTCTCCTCTCGGGATCTTGGGCATGCACGCACACGCACCCGCACCCGGCGTGAGTTTTAAGCCACCAGGTCCGGGACGCAAACTGCGGTCGACTACGTGGGAGTCCAGCAACATAGCCATTACGCTAACCACTAATTCCCTCTATTTGTAGATTTTTTAAAAAGGCTTTTTCTTCATATAATCATCCTCTGGGGGAAAAAAAAATTCCCCTGAATTTGGCTCATGATTGCAATCACTTTTCATACAAATTTTTTTTTTTTTAAATATCAGATTCAACCTTTTAAATTAACTTTATTTATTTATTTATTTAGACAGAGGAGTCTCCGAGAGAAAAGGCATAGAGATGTGTGAATACTTTTGTGGGGGCTGGGGGGGCATCAAGTGTGGCTGGAGGAGCAAGAAATGAGGCTGACAAGACAGTTAACTCTAGGCTGTAAGGACCTTAGTGCCTGAGATACTGGGAAGTCACCAAACTATTCTGAGAAAGGAAAAGGAGACCTGCGTAGACTGACCTGATAAACGCATAGGGTCGTGGAAGGCTATCAACAAGAAACCATTGGTTTCTCTTCTCCTCAGAGGGTAAGATGGGGCTGCTCACCCTTGACCCACTTCTTGCTTCCATAACCATGACTAGAAAAGCTCTCTTAGAGAAAGGAACAGCAGCCAAGAGCGATGGAATCATCAGTTACACAGTGAGATAGAGAAAGTGAAGAGATTTTATTATACTCCAGGCAGGAAGGAGAGTATCTCATGGCTTCTTCTCATAAACATCTCCAAGAGGT